TTTTTTTTTATTTTGTCATTTGCAATCCATCTTATTCTTCCTCATTAATAACAACTATCCGTGAGTGATATTTTTAGTGTTTTCTTCTTATTTACAAAACTGTCATCTATTATCTTCACAAATCTATATCTCTAGCTTCAATAAGTCTTTCCAAGTGGCTTTTTCCCTCTGTTTCAGTACAAGTCCTGGTGCACAACCTTTCATATATTAATGAGTTTGATTTGTCATACAATGAATGCGCAAGAAAATCTCATTTCAATATGAAAGGTTGTGCACCAACACTCATTTTGAAACAGAGGTAAAAGCAACTCGGAAATGGCCTATTAGGAAGCAATTTTCTTCAACAGAAAAATGGCATAAAAATTGTGATACAGCTCCTCAAACAGTGAATACGAGCAGAAAACTGCTCACCAAGGAAGGCTTGAGGCCAGTAAGTGATTCTTTTCATCAGAGGATATGTCACTACAAGTCCAAGGGATGCCGCTCCAAGAATTATACTGTCAGTGTTAAAAGAAAGAAGATCAAAGTAGATATTTACTATGGGAAGACACAAGGGATGCTTTGCATTATGCCAGACCAAGGAAAACGGAACTTTTCGGTCGAACATGGCTAACTGAAAGGCATGGCTCTTGCCATTTTCTATTCCTTTCCTCAATCCCCTACACAACTGAAAATCCACTGAAGGGAACAAACTGATTCTTCAAAATAGAACAGCAAATTTCGGTCAGACAAGTCAGACCGATTAAAATGGGCCACCTCTGGAGGTGGTCCAGAATATTCTGGTTGGCCCAACTGAAACAGACCGAGAGGATTGCTATTACCTTGCCACCTGACAATGTTTTAAATAATTTGAGAAATTTTGATGTACCAAATCCAATTCTAAGAACTGTCGGTGGTACAGAGGACAATCATCAGAGTGTGAATGGGGGTTTGCATGGCTGTCATCAAGTTTTGATTCACCTGTAGCCTTGATCTTTGCCCCCATAACAAACTTGTTACTTTAGGAGTGAACTGTATCAACTACAGGCAAGTTCACCTGTAACTACAGGGGTCTATCAAGCATGCTCAGCCATAACAGGTGCTATGGTGCTCATTGAGAGCCCTGGCTTGACAACTCTGCCTCTTGTAGTTCCTGCATTTTGATTTGTCAAAAGTTGTCAGACCAATTTAAAGGTCTGTCCAGTGGCAACCCTATGGCATCAGTCTTCAATGGCCCTCACTCTAGTTACTTCCATGAATTTTTTCAGACTTAGAGAATAATAGCATTTTGAAAATAATTTAATTTTAACTGATATGGACCACACAGTACATACTGTGTGCAGCAAGTTGTAAAAACCAAGTACTGTTACCTGTAGTTGTTTAGCGAGAGTAATATTGAGAGCCCAATGCTCAACTGTGCTCCAAGAAATACTAAGGCCTGGAAATGCGTAAGAGAACTATCGGCTAGTGGTCTGGAAATAGTGCGTGCCACCTATATGGGCAATAAAATCAACCAAACTTAGCTTGTGGTACTGTGTTCTCATTCAGACTATAGGATTGTCTCAATCAGATGCAACCTCAGCATCTGCAGTATAATGTGCCTTTAGCTCAATTCTAAAAATGTCTCTGTCACAGGCTGGAGCCAGAAATAATTTAAACTTCCAGTTTTTTTTATTCCATTTTTCACAGCAAATATGGTCCAAACCCAGTTTTGGGTATCTCACTTCTGTAACTTTAAATTTAGTTCACAGTCAAACCTCCACTAATGGCCAACTCTCTGCAATGGCCATTTTGTCTGTCCCAGTGGACTGTCCATACATTTACTTGTATTGTAGCCTGCAAGCAGGCGCACTTGTTTGGGTAGGGTATCGCAGGCAAGGTTGGCAGAGCTGCCGAGAGCCAGCAAGACGAATGGGGTGAGGACCATTCCTCTCGCCAGCTTCACCAGCTCTCAATTACGGCCCTTCCCCACAATGCCCTACCCAAACAAGTCAGCCTGCTTGCAGACTACTTTTATTTTCACCTCTCTACAATGACCATCACTCCAAAACAACAATGGCCACTAAAGTGTGTCCTAACAGCCAAAATAACCTAGTTTCAACAATAGCCAGAACAATAGCCAAAACAATTAAAACGTTCTCTGGCTGAAAAATTTCAGTTAAAATAAGCTTAAATTTAAGTTGAAATAAACTTAAATATTTAAGCCAGAGAACGTTTTAATTGTTTTAATATGTTTAACCCTGGTTGCTTGTCTATTTTTAATAGCCAGTTAGTCAATGACTAACAAACAGAGTATACAAAACCTCATATTTCGTTTGGAAAGGTCACAAAACTTGATCCATACCACACGTCGTTTGTCTCTGTTTAGTTTCTGGTTTTTTTTTTTAATATGTAAATATTTTGATTACGTTACCTATTTATGTTACAATAAGCAACTTTTTACTCCCTCCCAAAATACAGGTGTCATATAATACCCCTACTGCCCGTAACAACACTCAACAACAGCCACTTTCCTCTGTCCCCAAGGTAACTGTTTTGGAGAGGTCAGTGGGGGGGGAGGTTTCCCATATAAAAAGAACAGGGGTGCTTGTTCGAAATTTTGAAAAAGAACCCCTAAGAGGTACCAAGATCCTGTTTTGTTGTTGTAGCCCGAAATTTTCCCCCCTCCCTTAGAGGTACCAACTCTTACATAACATATAATCTCCTGTCATATTTTTTCAACTCAATGCTTTAAAAAATACCACACAAGCTCCTGCTGTGGGCCTTTTGAGGCTGAACAGCCTAAGAGGAACAAAAACGTCTATTTTAACCCCTAAAAGGTGCGACAAGCAACCCCGTCCTTTTTTATATGGAAGCTCCCCCCCCCCCCAGGAGGGAGAGGTTCAACTGTACTTAACCTCCTTACCTTCTTATCAAAATCTACATCCCACATGTCGTTAATAGTACACCCAGCCCCTCTCATTACCAGTGCTCCTATGCCAAAAAGAGTCAACATTTTGAGGTCTGGAAAAGAGCCAGGAGATGCTGCAAGTGCTATGCTCCATGTGCATGGTGAATACAGTAGCCATGTTCCTACTGGTTTGTCAAAGCGAATCAACCGAAGATAAGGCTGAATGGCGGGCGGACAGGCCTCCACAATGCGTGCCGTGTTTACATATCTACGAGAGTGATAACATCTGTTTGTTTTTACTTTAAAATACCTAGAATCAACACCACAAGATAATTTTGTGGCTGCTGGTCTATTCTCCACACCAGGGACGCCCCTATTTTGAACAAATGTCGCTCGAGTTCTCTGAAGCGGATCAATTTTCATATGTTTGTGAGAATCCTGTCGTTCTTGCCAAGAAGTTCTACTTTGGATGGTTGATCCGCAGAGATGGCGCACAGGAAACACTCTAGCAACTAAATACGATGTCTTAGAAGTACATCCAGGCAACATATTGGACACAACAGATGAGCAAATTCGGAAAACTGCGAAGTCCACCATGGCCGCCATGTTAGTGTTTAGCCTTATGAGGCCTAGTTACACACTTGATTTCTTATTGGTTAGATAAATTCCAATGAGCCAATCAGCTTATTTTCTAAGGTAGCCTCGCCTCTTCTATTCGCTCCGTTCATTTTCAGCGCCAAAATTCGAGT